TTGACTTGTGACTTGAAAAAGGGTTGACTTGGCCAGCTCTGAACTTAAGCAAGTTTTTTTAGGTATAAAATTTCGTTACTTCAATCATTTAAAAATCAAGAAGGAATTAAAAAATTCAAAGCAATTTTGTCAAGTATTATCTATGGTTGAAGATTTGATTGATAATGATAATTTATGTTGTTATTATTCATATATATGCAATGCTGATTTACGTTGTAAAAATATCTTTAATTTTGAAGAAGCAAAACATGTTATTGAAAAAACAAGGACGTTTATTATCGATCTATGCAACGTAATCGAGTTTGCAATTGGTATTTTGCCGGATGAATATTCCGTTTTTCGTGGTGATCCATTCGTGACTCATCAGTATCGTGATTATATTATGCTAGATGAAACTTTAATTAATGGTTTTCGTGAAAGTCAAACAGATTCAAATGTTCAGTTCCATATGGAAGTTTTCTTTGTATTTGCTAAAATTCTTCATGAATTGAGTCATGCATTGTTATATCACTATGGTCGTCTATATTTGACAAATGAAAAAGATATAAAGAAGAAATTTGAAACACCAAAGACACATTGTTTACAAGGTGAAGCTGGTAATGCAATTGAACGTTTATTATTTGGATCTGTAATTGATGCATCTGGCCGATTACGAAAGGATAAATACATTATTCAATATTTAATATTATCAGATGGTAGAATATCAGGTGTTATTGACAAAGCTTGGATCAGTTCATTTGTGAATGACGCTTTCAATATGCACAAATTAAGAAAAATTGATTCAATTGAACCTATACCATTTCAATTTTTAACAAAAAATTTAAAAAGAAAACTTCAATATAAATCGAAAGATTCTCAAACAAAAAGAAAATCTTCAAAATTCAAAAATTTAATTCTTGATTGGAGTGATGATGACGATACTGAATATGGACTGACTTCTACGTTTTTTAAAGTGTAATCATATAATGAATCTAAATTTTGATTGTTCAATGAATGCATTTAATAGTAAAAATTAAAGAAATTAACATTAAATAAAACATTTTTTATGTTTGAAACTTTTCGTTACCTACAGTTAACATCACCAGTCAAAAGATAATAAAATTTTGCTCTACTTTTTCCATTTTCTCATCTTTTGACTGGTGATATTAACTGTAGGTAACGAAACGTTTCAAAGATAAAAAATGTTCTATTCGATGTTAATTTCTTTAATTTTCAATATATAATCATGTATTTTTCTCTCCTGTATAATTTTTTTTTTCTGTACATATTAATGTTATTGTATTCATCATATGTGTGACTGTCAAAAAAGCTTATACAATTGTCTCCTTTAACTCTTTTCATTTTTATGGTCTTTTGATGATATATGAAGTATGTTTGGTGGAGTTTTATATAAATAAAATTGTCATCGATTATTATCAATAGTCATTCGCACTGTTTGCGTATAAATATCAAGAATTTATAATGTTGTAGATATGTATTTTCTTGTCGATACTCTTGTAAACCTTTTATTTTTTTCTAAACCTAGAGCATGTGACTAGCTGACAATCGAAAGAAGTTCTATCATATTCATTTATAGATGACGATCTGAGACAATAAACATGAATATCTTGACCGAGGTCATTATGCAGCTTCTGTCGTCATTAAATGGGTTCGAACGCAACAACTTTTAAATACATTTGTTACTCGATTTTTAATGTTTATCATTACAGAAAAGAATCTAGTAAAGAGTATTGTATATATAGTATTAAAGAAACTTATTGTAACTGAGTTTTAAGCTCTGTCACACTGAGTAATCGAGGAAAAAGAGGCTGAAGCAATATAAACAAGCAAATAAAAAAATTAGGGTGTGGATGTGGGTATGGTGGCGAGTGTGACTGGGTGTCGGTGTGCATGAGAATTTTCTTGTCATCAACAAAACCATATCCACACTCACATCTACACAGGAACACTAGGTTTTGACACCTGGTGAATTTCTTGGAAGAATATCTGGTGGCGGTGGAAAATGCTAGTGAACTTTTCATCTGCATAGCCGACGAGAATCACTACCAGAACTCTATCAACGGACTTCTATTGTTGTTCCATTTTCCAAAGAGATTATCACCACATCATTCACAGATAATCGAGTTCATACTACATTATAGTACTGACCAAAATTATAAGATCATCTAATTTCTTTTGAATCTTTTTTCGAGTATTATTGTTATTATTTTCTGAGTTTTATGTCACGAGTTTTAATGCACTCTTTAACAGGACATGGCATCAAATCGATTAATTGTTCAGAATATATTGTTGTTGCCTAACAGCAAATACCTTGAGCTATTTGTTGTAGCTGTGAAAGATTCTTGGATTTGATTACATGATCCCATAGATTTTCTATGCGATTAAAGTCAGAAGATGTGGCTAGCCATTTTATTACCTTTATATGAATATCTGAGAACCATTTCATGGAATACTCCGAGGTATCTTATGGTATATTATCCTGTATAAAAGTTCATTCTTTGTTTGACGAAATCGAATATCGTTTTCATGGACATGGATGAGGCTTCTTAAATTATCTTAATATATACCGACCCATTAATTTTAGTATTATACATCATCAACAGGTCACCGACACTTTCTGATAAAGAGCTCGATATGCTAACATGTCTATCACCAAATTGCATTCTTCTAGGAAAAATCAATGGTTCATTAGTTTCGGCTTCTAAGCGTCAAAAGAATATATTGTTTTTATGATTAAATATTTCACAACATGCCTTATAATTCCAAATGATATCATTTCACTCCCTCAATCAACACTTACTTTCGTTGGCGAAAGAACCTCGTTCTTTTTTTTGTGCAATGTATATTGTAGGTAGTCCATTTAGAAAATTTTTATCCATGTTACTTTGAACCTATGATTTTATCAGATTTAATGTCGAAAAAGCTTTGCTCGCCTGTAGCTACTGTCATCAGTGGCGTTACATCAAATATGATTTAGAATATGAATTACGTAGACTTTTTTTTTACTGAATCTTATACTTATTAATTATCGACAAAATGAGCACAAATGAACTATTTACATGACGGTTGGTTATTTCAATGTTAAACCTAACAGGTATTCCTCAACTATGTGATAGGGAAAGAAGTCATATCCAACGAGAGAAAGAATATTTGGAATCATTCATTTCAGAAGACAAGTACTATAACAGCAGTTTCACACATTACAACCAGGTCATCTGTATATAGTACGGCCAATATATGAATGTTTTCATGTTTCTCGCTACTTTCATAGAAGAAATCATTGCTGCCATAACAAACTTTCACTCTTGTAACAGAAGCCTCGTCAATGGTTTTTCTAACAATGAAGACGAACAGAATATTAAATAAAATTGGAGAAGGAATGCTTCCTTGTATCACACCTGATTTTATCCCAAAGCTGTCTGGCAATAATTCTCCATTTATTTTCACTTTCGTTCTCGATTTTTTGTGAAGCATCTTCAAAAGATTAACCAATTTTTCAGAGATGCCATAGCTAAGACATATTTTCCATAAGAGCTCGGGATTGATCAAGTCATAAGCCTTTGCAATTTCAATGAAAGATATGAACAAAGGTTTATTAAACTCTTTCCTTCTTTCCATGATCATTTTCAGTGTGAATATTTGGTCGATAGTTGATCTATTTGACCGAAAGCTAGATTGTATTTCTAGTAGCTGACCATTAATCAAATTTTGAATACGGTTAAATATTATACGTGAAAATACTTTACTATATAGTCGCATTCAATAAGCCGATGCCTCTATAATTATCACACAATTTTTTGTCACCTTTATCTTTGTATACTCTAATTAGAATTACCACGCTTCATTCCTTCGATGATTGTTCACTCTCCCATACGTCAGTAAAGAATTCAACTAACCATTTTATCACTGACTCACCACCAGCTTTCAGAATATCAACTGTGACTTCGTCACTGTCTGGAGCTTTTCTTGATTTCATTTGGTTTACCGCTCTTCTTACCTTTTCAATAGAAAGTTGAGCATTCTGTCTATGCTCTTCAGTTGTTGAAAGAGTTTGTATTTGAATTTGCTCAATTAAATTTTGGTCAACCACTGAGTGTACATTGAGAGATTCACAAAAGAACTCACGCCAGGATTTCAATGTGTCTCGTGAGTTTACAAGTAGCTTATTAGATTTATCTTGTATTGGTATATTTTCCACTCTTTTATTTTCTCTTCTGAGACGTTTTATAATGGAAAACGCCATTGTAGGATCGTTGTTCTTGATAGATTTTTCTATATCCTCACATACTTCGTCTCAATATTCTTTTTGACGATGTCCAATCATTATTTTGGTTAATTTTCTCAGGCGTCGGTATTTGTTCCGATATTTAGAATTTTCCTTGATAAATTTATTTAAAAGAAAAATCTTCGCGTAATTTGTCATAGAATGAACGATTAGAATGAATTAAATGAATGCACATAGAAATGTAGATGTGGCTGACAATCTTCATTCAATAATATTATTTATCATGTTCGACTCTTAAATTAATTTATCATGATTAGTGATGCATCATAACCACATAGATCACTGACTTAACTTAACAGACTACCTTCAAACACTTTATTGATGAAAATTTTTTCTAAAAACTTTATTTTATTCAATAGAACGATTAAGAAAAAACTTCTCTTATATAGTTAAATCTGATCAATAAATTGTAAGAGATTTTAGAGTATAGACATAATTCTATATAACAGAGTAGAAATCACAATATCGATATATTTGACTAAAGCTGACTTTTAGTCAAGAAAACGGAGAAGGTACTCTCTTTAATAAAAATCTATAGAATCATTAAAGATCTATTGAATATGGCAAGCCGATAAGTAGTCATGTATTATTAAATAAAATAAAATAAAATAAATAGTTTTATATATAAATGATGATTTATCGATTAAAGTTTTCAAGATATGAATATTGTCTTTTTGATTTAATATGAAAATAATATTTAGTTAATATCTAACAAGTGTAAAAATTTGAATGATAAAATAATGTAATGAAGGACATATTTGTTTGATGAATATCCTTGATGAAAAGTACATACTTATATATGCAAAACAAGACTATATTTATTCTTTTACGTCTCTTTTTCTTTTTAATCATAAAATAACCTATTGCTCTCTTATGCATTAAACAAAATCATGAAAATATTTCATTCTATTCACATTTAAATCGTTTTAAAAAATAATAAAAACGTTTTTCTTTTTTTCTCAAAGACAATTCTTAACTATTTTTTTTATTAAAATAGAAAAGAAAAAAAAAATCTTCCGAATAAATAAATAAATAATATATCGAAGGAATTTTTATCTTTCGATAAAACATATATGATATCTATTACGAGATTTTTATTTTATTTATTTATATAAATCTATTCGTCTTTTAAAATAATTAGATTTTTGTTATTATATATATATATTATAATATACGATTTTGATTTGTTAATTATTAAACGAATAGATTTTCCATATAATTATTGTTTGAGAAGATTTTTTTCAAATATTATTTTTATTTTAATAAATTAAATTATTGAATTTATTAATTAAATATATCAGCAGAATTATTTTGGAATTTAAGAAAATGACAAAAAGATTTTTTTCATCAATTTTATTTTCATTGATTTAATTTGAAAAAACTAAAAATAATATAAATTATTACCAATTTAAACATATTTATATATTTACTAAATAACAATTCTTATTGCTATTAGTTACATTTAATAATGAAAAAATAATCGATTCAGATATTATTTTAAAAATAAATTTTTGTGGACTTTTCTTGATTAAATTTCTTTGAAATTAATTTCAATAAAATTTGATTTAGAACAAAAAAAAATCTTCTATTAATGGAACATATTTGAAAATAATCATAACAACAATTGATTATTTAGCCAAATGAAAAAAGAAAAACTTCTTTAAACAAACGAA